AACACTGAATTCTTGGTTTTTTTCCATACATGCCCTTTCCTGTGAAAATTTTAATAAGGCCGTCTAGAGAAACTGAGTTTCTCACGATCTGTTTGAAATAAGGTACACCCATAGTTCATCTCATGCAAAACTAAAGGCAAAGCCTTTTTAGCATTTCTATAGCTTTACTGTTTTGCAACACTCTGCCCTCCCATTATAAGCTATTCTATCATATAGATGGAATAACTAAGATAGACGGACTAAGTAATTGTTTCAAACTCCCTAAAGAGAAACACTATTAGAAAATGAGCAGTTTTTTGCTTTCAATTCTGTGCTCTGTCCAGTAGATTACAGTACTCTTTCAGAGATTACAAAATAAAAGGATAATGTATTCACACAATCTGCTGCATTCACGGGAACTACTGAGTTCAATTCTGGTCAATACATCTCAAAGACAGAGCCGCAAGGGGGAAAGGGCCCCAAGACAAACAAGTAGAATGAGAAACCTGGAAAAAAAAATCATTCACACAACCAGAGGCTGAAAAGGTGAGAACTGCTCAGCTTAATGGGAAGGTAAAAGAGGGAACGGAAGTCTATAGATAATGAATAATGAAGAGAATTCCTTTTATCTCTTTCACATAAAGGATATTAATGGAAAAAAAGTATTTGAAACTGGTAACAGAGAACTTATAGAGTATATAAGTTAACCTGTGGCACACACTGCCACATGATATTGGAGGCAAAGAGCTAAACAAGGCTTCAGGAAAAATGTCCAAGACATGTAGAAGAACGATGGCAGTAATCCAAGTTCCATTACAGTGAATAAAAATACTGAATGAAAATAAACTCTTTTGCAGCAGGGCATGTGTCAGCCTCCAACTGACAACACTTAGGAACACTCTTCTCAAGGTTGTTTTCTGAAAGTTTTTTTTGTTGTTTTGTTTTGGTGAGGTTTTTTTGCATCTTCCTTCAAAGTCTTTGAAAACTGACCACTGTCAAAAGAAACAGGACAGTCTCTGTGTTTGATTCCGTGCAGCAGCTACTATGTTGTAAGGAGTATATAACACAATTATTCTTAGCATCCTACCGGGAAGGTACTTAGTTCTCAACATCAACAGTTCAAAACATCCTTCAAAAACAAATCTCTAAGTCTCCTACCGCTGATTCTGTTACCATGCAGAAGTGGGGACAAAGCCAACCTGAGGTTTATAGATAGGCACAGCAGGGGAGGAGAGGGGGGAATTCCTGACAGCCTGGTCCTTAGCAGGAGAAATTTCATTTTTCTGCCTCCACACCGAGCCATCACATCCATTCACTCCCAGCCCAACAGCTCCGCACTACCAGTGACCACACTCCCAAGTGACCATCCCCTCTGAAAACAGCGGAGAAAGCAAACTTCTATTTCAGAGCTCCTCCCCACCTCAACCCCTTACCAATAGCTTTTTTCTAACATACACAGACATATATACATAGATATATAAAAATATATCTAAGCCTGAGTTGGAAGGTTTTAGCACAGTGGAAGGAAAAATAAATAAATAAACGTCAAGGCCTGCGTGTATTCAACAAATAAAAGCAGAATTATATAAAAGCAACAGCTAATAAAAAAGATTGTTCTGTGCTGTGTTTTCCATCTTTCCAACCATTATAGGAATAAAATTATCCACAGAGAAGATCGAAAACCTTTTTCAAAACTAATACAATTAAGCTTTATTACACTGTTTCAAGTACATTTCTCTCCTCTCCCTTCTAGCCCCCCCCACCTCCCACTCCAATCCAGACTAACGGTTGGAGGCATTCTTCTATTTTATTACCAGCAAAATGCTAGTGTTCAAGGGTCAGAAACTATCTAGTGTTTCAAGAGAGGAAAGAAAACCTGTCCTTTTTATCTACTTGCTTTTGTACATGCAAGAACTAGAAGATAGTTTCTATGCAGCTCTGCAGTTTGAATAGGACTATGGGCAAGCCACCTTACTGCCCTGAGAAGATCCTCCACTAAAATATCCATCACCTTGTTTAAAAAGTTACCCTGCAGCAAGGGACATGGACCTGAAAAGGGAAACACAAAATACAACAAAAGACTTCAAAAAGAGGACAATGCAGCCTGGGAACAAACTTCTCCCCACTCCACTGTCCATAAAGGACAGACACACATACAGATTTTCCCTGCAGTTTCCGCTTCATGAAACCAGATCCGGAAAGAAGAATATAATAGAAGCACACAGCATGAGACCAAGAAATTGCAAAAATTCCCTTTGCGTATGAACATATGGACAACTGCGATAATTAGAACGATAGCTGCTAGATTGTTTGCAATTTCACTGAACAATCCCCATTATCTAGAAATAGAATTTAAAAATCTGGGTGCAACACTGAGTGGTAGTTTTAACAGTTTATTTTTTAATGAACTGTATGGATTAAGTGTTGCAAAATTGTATCATGTGAAATTGCTCATGGGCATGTTTTACCATCAATGGCTTAAAAAAAAAAATGCTGCATGGACAATCATGCAGTAGCAGGGAATGAGAAGGGGAATAGATGTGCCGACAGTTTCCTACCGTTTCTATAATCTGCAATTTTCCCATGTTCCATATCCACCATCATGCTACGTGTTGGTAGTAAAGCTGATTGATTTCTGTGTCTCTTTACAACCCACCTTCTTCATTGTTTGCATTTCTTTTTAGTCACATAACACAGCTACAAGTCGGATGTATGCAACTCCCTGTCAGGAGGTCTAATTGCTTCAAATTGGAGAAGATTATTCTCCACATTTATTAAAAAATGAAGACTACTTATAACATTATTTCATTTTGCCAGGAAGTGAAAAATGCATTAGTTCATAAGGAACAGCATGGCTGCTCCTATTTTTATGGCATCAATTTTTAAAAACTCATCATGGTAAACAATTAAACAGAGAAGCAAATCCCACGTTTAGGGGAGAGATTCAAATCCCTAAATGGATTTTCAAAGGTCATTTCAGGCTTAAAAGATGCTTGACAGTGTCTCTTTAAATCATGTTCATTTCAAAGGCTTATCCAGCAAGAAGCAGGCAGTGCACTGCAGCACCACTCTTTGAACTGTTGGACTCCCAAGAGAAAAATTAATAATACAATTTTAATTTATATTTATAGCAAGATTTGTGTGGGTTTTTTTTTTTTTTAATTTAGGAAAGGTTTTTTAACAAAAGGAATAAAAAAACAGGGCACTTGTTTTTTTCAATTTAGCTTTCACCTAAACCCCATGGTGAAAAGGAAAATAAAGTTTAAACTACTAGAAGTCTTTTTTTAAAAATCATCCAGCTAAAACCCCCTTATCTTTCAAATGCAAGTTGGTCAAAAGATTTGGTTTGTACAGCTTTTTCATCACTTAACTATGTAAGGGGTGGGGGGCAGATAGATACTGGGAGCTGACAGTTCCAGGTTTCAGCACAACGCTTCTTGTTTCTCTACTCTTTGGATGCACACAGATCTGCATCCGATCCCATTAGTATGCAGAGGCTACAAATAGAAGACAACTTAGCCTTACCTTCCTCTCAATGCGGGCCAACTGCTCTTTATAGAAGGCCTCTTGTCGCTTCAACTCTGTCTCCCTGCCTTGCAGCTCCACGGCCTGGGAAGAAGAACAAAAGAGCATGAGTAGAAGAAGAAATTAAAAATAAAAAGTGTGAGTGCTAGGAAAGCACATGGGATGCAGACTGGAAGGAACCAAAAAAAAAAAAAAAAAAAAATCATTGCTCAGGACTGGTGTATGGGATTCCTCTCCGTGGAACTACAAACCTTCAGTATTGCAGTTCATTTTGGATTATCCCCACAAGTTTGAAACACTCTTATTAGTATCACACTCAAATTTATAACCTTCATTTTATTTCTCCTTATTAAATGAAAACATATAATCATAGAAAGGGGACACCTTCCTATTGCCTTCTTCAGAACTCCACCTTATCCAAGTCTTTGTTTTTCACGAATCATGATGTTTATTACTCCACTTCAATATTTTTCACCTTACCTTAAAAATAAACCTCAAATCCTCCACTTCATAAACACTTGCCCCTTGGAGTGTCAGAAAACTTCTATAGATTTAACACATCCCTACAATCATGAGGAAAATCTGAAATACAAGGCTACGTTGTAACATTTTTATGGTACCACACATTCTCACTGGCCATGCATTTGCTTTCACAGACATACACAGGAGTACCCTAATAATTAAGTACTCTCCACAGGCTCTCTGTGCATACACCACCAGCACCCCCAGAGTTCCTCTGGCTGGGTGCTGCAGATTTGGAGAGGAGATGGGTGGCAGAGAATCTCTTCCATCTTCCAAAGTATAAGTGCAACACTTCTGAAACAGCAAACTTGGAATACAAGCACATGCTTAAGCATAAGTTGGTCATCAACTAGACAGTGCTCTATTAAAAAAAAGTCTGTGTGGTTACAGCAACAGCTTTTGCCTTTTAGCTCTTTACAACCAGGAGCATTTCATTGCATTCCCACCCCTAAGCTGAACTAGCATTAAGAAAACATGGCACTGATGGAACTGAACCTAACTTCTTAAGTTTAAAAATAACAAGCAACAATAGCAAGAAGAATGGCACTTGTTTTTCTTCCCCCATCCCCAAAAATCTCCGGGGCCACATCAGTTATCACCAGGCAGAAGACCTTTCAAAACCAGAATTATTAGCCTGTTTAACATGAACACAAACCCTGCTAATCTATAGCATCCCAGCAGCATTGCTCTTAACTTTTAATGATGATGGTACAATCACAGAAAATGCTGGTCCAATATGATTAAGCAGCTGGGACAGAAACATCCCCGTGAGCTCAGACATGTCATTTTACGGCCAACAGCTATTGTTAGCGAGAAAAATTACATCTGAAAGCAAGTTGCTGCGCATTTCTTTCTTTTTGCTCCCCTGCTGATGGAAATACAGTGCTGTAATAGGGCTCAGAAGAGATTTTAAGCTAGGCAGTGAGGGACAGTTGATAAGCAAGCAAGAAAAGGAGTACATGAAATAGGGGGGCTTTAGGGGTGTGGTGGTGGTGTCATCTGTTTGGTTGTTTTTAAAGGAAAAAGAAGTATTTTGGTCCCCTTGTTTGTCATCCCAGCCCAGCCAACAGGGCCACGGTAAGGCTCAAGCACTATAGACTCCTATCTAAATCCTCTTGCTCTCAAAGACACTTGATCGAAGGCAAAATCTCTGGCTTTGGTTTAACCAGAGCTCCTATATATCTTCCAGCGCACAAAACAGCTGAAATAGGACAGGGATAGGGATGAGAATGAGCTGCCCCATACATGTAGCAGCAACAGCAACAGTAGGGGCACTGATGGGCACTTTGTAAGTGACAAAATTATTACCATTTTCAGATAGGAGAACCATAGCTATCCTTCTGAACCAATATCCATCTTCTATACAGAAAAGGACTAAGCAATTTCAACTGAAATGAAACAGATCTAAGACAGCAGGGTGGTCTGGTGGATGACCAAAGGACCCTGATTCTCCTGCTGATATTCTGCATGACACCCATAAAATCAGATTATTAAAAAAGTGACTTGTATTTCCTTAAGGAGAAAATAAGTAAGGAAAAGAAAGAAGAGTAACATAATACTGACCCCTCTGCACAATTCAGATGGAAAGTGCTTTTTGTCTGAAGTGTAAGACAAGAAAAAACCAAAACAAAAGAGTCAAAAGATGAACTCTTAAAAATGCAAGAAAGTTTCTGCTTAATCTAAATAAATTAATTATGTGTCAGTGATACTCTCCTGGGGTAGCAGACTATTCTGGGAGCACAAAACCAATACATGTAACAATACTGGTGGGCAAGAGGCTTTATTCTGTTTCTGGCAAGACATGGATCCATGTACCCACACACCCACTCATCTTTTCAACCTGTGAGCTTGCCTGACCTCATTCACCAAGAAATTTAGCGTATTTACCCATATGACACCTCTGGAAGGGAACACAAACCAAATACCTAATCTCTCAAGTAGGGTGCTGAGATGCAGACACATTAGAGGTGTGCTGATCTGCATGATGATGACCCATGGACTCCCAAGCAGACCTGACTGGAGCTGGGATGCCCACAGTGAATAATGCCTCCACACTGAATAATGCCTCCACACTGATGCACCCTGCAGCCGACAGCCATTCTGTTAGTGACTTCCCTAGGATCTTTCAAAACAGTTATCAAAGAATCAAAACTGGATCTCCCAACTGCAGAGACCTCAGTATACTCATCATTCTTCCCCCTAAGTAATTTCTCCCATATTATCTCTCATTATGTCCCACTTATTGCCCCTAAGTTGTATGATGAACCAGAGGTTGCAGAGAAAACTTTTACTCACAACTCAAACATTTTCAATGCCTTGCTTGTTTTCAAGAGCTGCTGGTGTTTCAGTGCATTGAAGTATACTGAGAAATATTCTATTTGTGACAGATCTGCTTGAAAGTTGCTTTCTGTGTCCCTCTATCCCCAGCTGTTATTACTAGAAAATTTAGTACACTTTATGATGATGTTTGAAGTATGAATGGTACAGTCAGAGCATGTGTCATTTGAAATACTCACTGTTCCAAACTGGGTTAGGCAACAAGGGACATTTTGTATGAATACAGGATATTTATTAAAAGTTCCTCTAGTCCTGCTGCTTATTCCCTACCTGAAGTCAGAAGCCTGTGATGTCCCAGACAGAACAGGCTGCTATGGAGATGATTACAATTTCACAGGGGATTGAGATTGCAGGTGCCAAACAAAGCATCAGATACACTTTTCACAAATGCCTTTAGAACTAAAGAAGGAAGGAGAAGGGAAGACATGCGTGATAACATACTGGTTTGAAAATCATATATCAGAAAGTTGCATTTCACATCCGCGCTGCAGAAGCTACATCTGAGCTTGAACATATCATGCAAGAGATGACCAAAGCCCAGAGATGACATGTAAGAAATTGTAGTGTAGAACACAGCAGAGAGTGTGATGTCCAAGGAGTGTGAAGACAGAAACAAAAGAGAAGGAGGGGAGGAAGAGTGTAGTTAGTTGTAGCACACACAAATGCACCCAAAATTTAGAAAAGTAGCATGGGACAGCACGTATTTGCAAAAGAGAACGTATGCAATAGGCAATTGCCCTCTGTACAAAAACTAGGTGTAAGATATATTTAGGAAATGCTCAAGAATTCCCTGTGATGGTGTCAGAAGTTACAAGCGTTGCATTCTTACAAAAGGACAGTGAAGGTATACTACTAGCATGCTACTACCGCTTCCATGGGCATGGATCCATGGACCAGTTGCGGGGTCTTTCAAATTCTTCCTACCTTTATCTCTACACTTTTTCCACAGCCCAAAGTTTTTCAGGTTATCTCAGTGCTGCTTTGAACAGTGACAAACAGCTCAGGCAGAGTCATGTGTGATTCCCTACCTCCTCCTCTCCCTTTATCAAATAACCGATTTAGAAACAAACTGTGAAAGCACATTTCTAAAGCTATGCATTCATACTGGCTCAACTAAAGAATTCAAGCACTGGCCTGCTAGCTGACAGGCAGGCCAAAAGAAATATTTTACAAGCCTCTTAATTGAGGTAATGAAATATTACTGGTTCATTCTCTATGAACAAAGCCAGACACTCTTAGCCTTGTCCTGAACTGACACCAAGCAACACATCAGACTGCAACTGATGTTCTAGAGCTGGGCTTCACTCTAGCTACATCCATTCACAGCTTAGCTTTGGCTTTGCCCACCACAAAATATCACCAGATTTTTATTATTTTTAATCCTTCTCATCACCTTGTTAAATGTGAAAACTAAGAGGGAAATCTGCTTGGAAAAAAGACCTTCTTGGCAGGGTCAGATTACAGTTGAGAATGTGGCACCCAGGAATAAAGCGCAGCAATAGCACAGCCCACAGCTGACTGCTACCATCAGACTGTCTGTCTCTGCAGTACTGTTGCGATCCTGGGATTTGGGGAGAGGGCATGGAGAAGACTCTACTGGAAGAAGAAAAAAAAAAAAAACCTCTCTCTGCAAAGGGCAAGTCAACCTAGAAGAAAAGGTCCATACCTTAATCTATAAAGAACTCCCTCAAAGGCAAGTCACAGCACTTGGCAAGATTATCGCAAAAATATTTATCTTCTTGGCAAAACACATTCACCAGTCACAGACGAACTAGTGAGATGACGCCTAGAGAATCAGTCGGAGGCAATCCAGAGAAAGAAGCTACAAGGATAAAGGAAAGGTCCTTAAGTCTCTATCAAATGCCTTGTTTCTACATCATCCTGTCTTTGCTGAGAGGAGTTATCAGCTTCCCCCAAAGGTATCCAGTAACATCTCTGTAGCAGCACAGCAGAGATGTTTTGGCTGGGTACCTCAGCTTGCCACACTTCACAACTGCAAATTCTTATACCTCATGCTTTCCCATGTCTCTTCCAGTCCTGGTAGCAGTCCAGGTGGCAGGGGAGAAAAACAAATGCTATTAAAGGCTCCAAGACTAGAAGAAGGAATTGACAGCAATGCACTGAAGAACAGAACTAGCTCCAAATTAGCTAGCTGGCATTTTCCTGACCAAGCCTAGGGCAACACTGAAACAGCAAGAGGCAGCTTGCGCACATCATGCCTGAGACCGAACGGCAGAACTTCGCAGGGAGGCTTGTACCAGACAAGTAACCATGGGGGAGCCTTGACTCAACTTCCACTTGCATCAGCAGAAATATCACCACTAATGTGGAGTCGTCTGCAGTCACTACTCCAAACACGTGAGGCCTACAAAATCACTTGCTTTTTGTACTTTCTCTCATTCTGTTGAAGGCAGGTGACTGGGTTTTGTTTTGGTTTAGAACCCAGATGCAGATTCATGGCCTTAAAAAACAGTACTGGTGTAACCTTCATTTCCTCCTGTTTCTGCTACTCTCTTAGCCAACAACACACATCACCAGATCAAGTTTGGTTTCAGCAGCTGTAAGCTACACAAAAGGAACCAGTGAAAATCTTTATGGAGGAAATAATATGCAATTTTCTAGCTGAACACCTTTTAAAATGTAATGACAGAAAATAAAATCCTGCATCTGTGCTCAGCAATAACAATCTGTACGCACGCAGTAACAACATGACACTTGGAATAAGCAAGATCCAGACAAAAAAAGAGAGCTTACCCAGGCGTCCAAATCCGCAGGCTTGGAATAAAGAGAGTGCAAGAGAGAAAGGAAGGGAAAGATAAGAAAAAGAGAAATCAGTGATTTATGGAGGCCGCCTGCTGCTGCACAATATAGCTTTCAGGATGACAAGTTTAGAAAAGTTCCTTAAAAATGACAAGCATCTCTAAGCAGTGCAGTGCTGTCCCCTGTTGGGAACTGTGCTATTAAAGCAAAACAAAAGCACATGCACCCCCAAAAATAAAAACAAAGCAAAGCCCCCAAAGACTGCTGCAGGATCGCCCGTAGGGTGGAAGCTAAGCAAAGACAGCTGTGAAGCAGCCAGTTTCAGGAAGTCATGCAAGGCGCTGCACAATGTTAGAGATGCTGATACCCACAACGCGCACCAACAAACGCGGCAGTGCTGGGCATACTCAAAAGGAGGTGGCCAACAACTGCGCTGTTTCCAAATTACCTGCAAAGAACAAGTATCCTTTTCCAAGGGCATTTTTGAATGCACAAGCTGACCTACATAGCAAGTCATCTTTACTGGACAATTTCAAAGAGTGCTTCCTAATAGAAAGCCAGTTGACTGATCAGATTTCCAACCAGATCCTCCTTCACAGGCAGCTGAACACATCTTTAGCACACAGCCCAAACCTCTGTGAAACCCAAGCTGCCTCCACCTGCTCCTTCTTTTGTTGGCAAGCCTACTTAGGTATGAAGACAAGCAGACGAAGCAGGCTGCAGTATCACCTCTTATTTACTTATTACTACTTTTTATTTACACAGTAACCCAGCAAGTACAAGATGATAAACATTTCATACCCATAACCACCTCCTTCTGAAGCCAAGGCATTTATGAGGCAGCCACAGCTCTCATTTGTTGTCAAGGGCTGCAAGCCTTCCCTGCCTCTCAGGGCTACATTCAATCAGCAGCACATTCACTAGGCAGGAACTTCAGAAAGGCTGGCCTTTTTTATTATGATTATTTATTTGAGGGGAGTTGACAGGGCAGGACGAACTTTCCTCTTGGTCATAGTTCAGTGCCAGAGGGAGCAGACGGTGGAGTGCAATGTGTTTATGGGATCTGCTGTCATTTTAATGGCACAGAGCGACTACTTCAGGTAACTGTGGGATGATGTGTCATCAGCTATGTGTGTCGTCCATCTTCATCCTTTGAAACAGCTGAGAGGGCTGGAACCAAACATCTACAGTTCAACTGGGGGAAGCCAATTCCCCCCTTTCTGCAGACAGGTTTAATATACTGGCATCAAGTCCTTGGCCGAACAAACCAATATACAACAGGTGTTCACCGATAATCACTGACCAATCTTGACAAAAGCCTGATTTGAATAACATTTTTCTTCCTGCTGATTTTTACAGTCAGGACAGATGCGCTTAGTTTTGTTTTTACATTTTAGCAGTTGCAAGGCTGTCCGTCCTCAGCAGATGGACAGGAGGAACACAGGGCTCTTTATGGTGCATGCTGTTATTTCAGCAGGTAGGTCATGCACACCGGTACCTCTTTACTGGATTTACATCTGTCATCCCTGGGGTGCCTAAGCCATTAACTGTCACATTCCTGGTGGACAAACGCTTGCGTGACAAAATGAACACAAGGTACTAACTCAGTGGCACTGGACAGTTGCTGACAAAGAGAGGAAGAAGAAGGAATCAGCCCTGTCACTGATAGGTGGTCCCTCTTATACCCCTATAAGATATAATGCAAAATAGCAGAATTACAGTTTTAAGAAAAGTAACACTGTTACTAACCACAAGGCATCTCTTCTGCAGGTACTGCTAACGGCTTTAATTTTGTCACCTTTCAGGAGGGGGGAAAAATTATTACTGCAAGAATAGACAGATACACCCCACTGAATGGAAACCGGAAAATTAAAACAGGTGTAGATGCAGTAGGACATATTGCTGTGCTGGGAAAAAAATAACTACATCTGGAGTGAAGCACAGACTAAATAAAATATAATAATAAAATAATACAAAAATGAAAACAAGAGGGCTACTGGTTTAAGTTTTGCTACCTCCTAAGCATGTGCCAAGATCTCTTTGTAGACCTGCATTTACCAACTTTGACTGATAATACAAGACACAGCATGTCCACTAATATTTTCAATGTTTAAGTAAACTGTTTAAGAAATGAGCAACATCTGGGTTCCTTGCTTCCTAACCAAGTGAGTTTCACTTCCAGCTCCCAGCTGGGAGCTTGTGAGTTTTATAATCCCAGCCCTGGGACACAAGCCATCTTTCAGCACCCTTGGTCAATACTGTTGAACTCTTCTGCTAAAACAAAGGTCCATTTCTCTTCCAGGTAACCCACTGGATAGCAATCACAGGAAGCTGAATAAATACTAGACTTCATTGTTCAGGGTCAAAACCAAATCAAGATATTCCTCTTGACAGTATCAGAGGCCAAAGGTTATTGAAACAGGATCTCAGGCCAAACCAGCAACCCCTGTCTTAGGTATTTAGACGGGGGGAAAAAGATGACACAGTCCACTTGAAGGAGACTCTGGCTAGATATAGGAACTACAAGTAATGCATCTGTCCTTCTGAAAATTTCACATTTGAGCACTAATTATTCAGGCAGAGGATGCTTTCCCGCATATGTATCAACAGTCCAATGAAATCAAGAACATAGCGCCAAATTAGTATTTTGCACATACGGACAATTTCCAGCATCTTTTCCTAAACCTATATGCCACATCACCCATATGTGACTGCCATAACGGGCACATCACTCATGTCTGCCATGGTCTGGGCAAAGGTAAAAATGGTAGTGAGCGATCAAATCAGTTCTGCAATTGGTGGTGAGGGAGGAAGGGATCAACATGATAAAGCATCAGCCTTAGGAGAGGCAGTGCCTTTGTAACCTGACTGGAACCAGCTTCACCCCAGATATCCATAGTGAATAACTGTCATATAGCTAATTTCACTACAGCGTGACCAACAACTTAGGAATCCAGACTACCAGCTTGGTAGAGATCTCCTACTTAAGAACTCAATACAGAGTCTTTTTAGGGGCACTGCCAACTTTGCGAGTGGAAGATAGAGTGGGAGATGCGAGAAACGAGAGGCAGCAGGTGCCCAAAACCCAAGACAGCTGCTGGCAACAACTTTTGCACTCATGTCAGTATCTGAAGAGCTCTGCAGCACATATTCTAACATCTTGATGACCAGACTTCATCACTGAATGAGCAAAGAGTCATTTCTTCCTAAGGCAATAATCCAGCTCTAAACTTTTCCATGATGATAGGAATTAAAGTATTTAAAGAATATATCTAGCCATTCAGTATCCACTCCAGACCCTCAAACGCTTCCAGTTTAATGGAAAATTGAAGCAGCACCAATATTAAATGTAATGAGAGTCAGAGATGTAACCAACTGACAAGGGAGAGGAAGCAGGAAGAGACACTGAACAGCAATCAATTTTGAGGAAAGGCTGTGATGAAATTGCTCAACTCTAATGTATACAGAGCATACACAATTCTATAAACATGAAGATGGGAAGCAGCAGAAAACCCCTCTGCCCTTTTATGATTCAGGGACAACTGCACTTCTAATACTTATGGCATTGCTGCAAATAGGTTTGCAATGCTGACAGTTGATAGTTTTCGTTTAAAACAAAATAAAGAGAAACCTATTTTATAAAATCCAAAGTAAACCATCTGCTTTCATTGCCTACTTTAATACTTCAGCTCATTCCCACATTCTCCTTTTCCCATCACCACTTCTATACATGCATACATACAGAGTTTTCATTTTGTAGACTGCCAACAGACAAGGCATTTAATGTCTATAGAAATCTTGCAGAGTGTAGGCTCTCTAGAGATGTATACTCAAGATGCTTATTTCTGATAGCAGGCGAGTCAACAACTCCCTCTAAATTTTTACTTCCTTGCTTAAATTCCCACTCTGCCTGTTAGACCTAAGAATCTCCAAGTCCCTGACCAATTTAGCAAAAAAAAAAAAAAAACCCTAAACCAACAAACAAAAAACCCAACCAACCAACAAACCCCAAAAAACCAACCCAAAAGAGGGCATCATGAAATTCTATATTAATTATGAGTTTCTATTTGGGAGACACATTTCAGACTCTACTGAGTCAATGAGGTATTTTCTCATAAAGCTAGAATCAAAGGCCACTCAACTCTTCTTGGATTATTTCTAGCTCATAATCATTAATACAGACTCCCATTATGCTAGCCTAAGGGTGGCATATGGCTTTCTAGGGATAGGACAGACGGGGGAAAATAACAGTTACGCATGCTTAAATCCCAATCTCATTTCTGTGCATGCATATGGGGACATAGCTTTCTCTTGCCAGATTCTTAAATACCAAATATATTAGCTTCCGAGTCAAACATAGTACTTCAAACATGACCACTGTTTTGCAAAAAATCAAGATGACACACATAATCAACCCATGTGCCTCCAAGCAGCAAAAATGATGAACCATGTGAGTTCAGAAGGAATTCCCTTCCCACACTTCCTCCCAGACACCACAAGCAATTTTTACCTGCCTCTGAACAAAACAGATATTTATAGGCACCATCCAATGGATACAGGTTCAGTATAGTACAGTGAATACAGAGTTCCTGCCACAAGATTAGAAATCTAATTTCTTTTGATTTTAAAAAAAGATATCAAATACTACACAGTCTAAGAGAAATACAGTTGACTTTGGGGCTGTTTTTTAATACAGGCAAACACTGTCTTAATTACGTGGTTCAGTATGAAAATTCTTGAAAGCCTTCAGTCATGATCATCCATCCCCTGTCAGTCTCTATGAATCCTTCTGCAGGTGGAGAGTCAGGTGCACTTTCAAACATCACAGTTTACATTTTTACCCACTTTGACAGTCTTGTAAATTTTCCTGTTCTCCCTGCTCTTTCATCCCAGACGTACGCAAAGCACGCTTTACACAGCATTACAGGTTTGGTATCTTTCTGGGGGCAGAATGCAACCTACCAGTTTGCCAAGAGGTACGTGGGAAAGACATACAGTAATCAACATTTAGTATA